AAAACGGCTATTTGCATTTATAAATTTAGCACGAACTTCCTTTTTCTTTTTCAAAATTCCTATTTGTTCGAAAGTTATTGCAATTTTAAGTGATTTTTCCGTGATTCCTTTTTCTTTTTTGCTTTAATTATTCAATTATTGTAGAAAATTATATTTCTCTCGAGAGAATTTCGTGTTATGAGCTTGCGCGATTTGAAGAATAATAAAATGCAAACGTTACTGCTCTTAAAACACGTTATTATCATATGCAAAGTATTAATGAACTTTTGGCTATGATCTATATCTTACATGAGGTTCAAAGCTTGCAAGCATGCTTTAATATGGCAAAAATGTTGATAAGTAATAAAATTAGGTTATCATCGCATGCAAACTATTAATCGACGTTTGGTTAAGATATGTATCTTACTTGCTGTTCGAAATTTGCAAGCCTGTATTGATTTGATAAGTATGGTGATAAATAATTAAAATGCGTTGCCACATGCGAACCGTATACTAATCAACTTTTGTTTACGATATTCATCGCTTAGTTCCAATTTGCGAGTTTGTAATAACTTCATAATTATAATGATAAATATGAAAAGATATTATCATTATTTCTAAGTTATTAATTAACGGTTGGTTATAATGGATATTTCATGTTTTAAAATTGCATAGGATGCAATGCATGCAAAAGGATGATAATTATATTAATAAATAAGTTACATTGAAACTATTTACGGGTATTAAGTTATGATGCGTATCTTATAGTTTTATTATAACTTTTATTGTATAATTAAAAAGTTTTGTTGATAAATATTATTATTTATTGCAGACTCAAACTTGGACAACGTTCTGTTGTAGTTCTAAATGATTTCCCGACAGTAAAAGAAGCATTTATGCAAAGAGCTTTCTTAGGAAGACCGCCAAATCCTCCAAACCATCTTCTGCAAGATGCTACTAGTAAGAAAACTTTTTTAAAAAAGAATTCTTTAATTATTTTTTTTAATTGAACATAATTCATTTTTATTTGATATTGTCCTTTTATATAGTGTCATTCAAATTATGATATTTGACCAAATTGAATAAGATGTATACTGATTGTCGAAATTTTTAACAAATTAATTTTTGATGAAGAAAAGCTTATGTGACTGTCTTTTTTCCTACACATTTCTCAATGGTAGTTTTTTTTCTGTACACTAAATGAATAGGATAAAAATCCGCCTTCGATTTATCACAACTTCATTATCGCAATGGACTGATCGTAAAGACGAAAGCAGAACACTGAAGACAAGCATCACTGTCTACGACCAGAACGGGGGTGGACGACGCTTTTGAGCAGTTAGCGTAGGGACTGAGGATGCACGGTATCGATCCTCATTAAGCTGTTTTATGATTAAGTGCTCGACTTCACACGCTGGTTGTCAAGATACCAAAACGGGGAAGACATCCTCTCTGCAGAAGATCAAAATTGTAATGACATGTCTTCGGATCATCCGTAGGGATGTTTCCCCGACCGTCGCCAATAGCACATTATGCAGATCTAGTGTGACATAAATAAAGTCTCTACCACCCTAACCATCATTGAGGTAAAGAAACATTTACGTATATCTTATTTACGTATTAAGACTTATATTCCTAAACTATATATATATATATATATATATATATAGTTTAGGAATATAAGTCTTAATACGTAAATAAGATATACGTAAATGTTTCTTTACCTCAATGATGGTTAGGGTGGTAGGGACTTTATTTACGTCACACTAGATCTGCATAATGTGCTATTGGCGACGGTCGGGGAAACATCCCTAGGGATGATCCGAAGACATGTCATTACAATTTTGATCTTCTGCAGAGAGGATATCTTCCCCGTTTTGGTATCTTGACAACCAGCGCGTGAAGTCGAGTACTTAATGATAAAACAGCTTAATGAGGATCGATACCGTGCATCCTCAGTCCCTACGCTAACTGCTCAAAAGCGTCGTCCACCCCCGTTCTGGTCGTAGACAGTGATGCTTGTCTTCAGTGTTCTGCTTTCGTCTTTACGATCAGTCCATTGCGATAATGAAGTTGTGATAAATCGAAGGCGGATTTTTATCCTATTCATTTAGTGTACAGAAAAAAAACTACCATTGAGAAATGTGTAGGAAAAAAGACAGTCACATAAGCTTTTCTTCATCAAAAATTAATTTGTTAAAAATTTCGACAATCAGTATACATCTTATTCAATTTGGTCAAATATCATAATTTGAATGACACTATATAAAAGGACAATATCAAATAAAAATGAATTATGTTCAATTAAAAAAAATAATTAAAGAATTCTTTTTTAAAAAAGTTTTCTTACTAGTAGCATCTTGCAGAAGATGGTTTGGAGGATTTGGCGGTCTTCCTAAGAAAGCTCTTTGCATAAATGCTTCTTTTACTGTCGGGAAATCGTTTAGAACTACAACAGAACGTTGTCCAAGTTTGAGTCTGCAATAAATAATAATATTTATCAACAAAACTTTTAAATTATACCATAAAAGTTATAATAAAACTATAAGATACGCATCAAAACTTAATACCCGTAAATAGTTTCAATGTAACTTATTTATTAATATAATTATCATCCTTTTGCATGCATTGCATCCTATGCAATTTTAAAACATGAAATATCCATTATAACCAACCGTTAATTAATAACTTAGAAATAATGATAATATCTTTTCATATTTATCTTTATAATTATGAAGTTATTACAAACTCGCAAATTTGGAATTAAGCGATGAATATCGTAAACAAAAGTTGATTAGTATACGGTTCGCATGTGGCAACGCATTTTAATTATTTATCACCATACTTATCAAATCAATACAGGCTTGCAAATTTCGAACAGCAAGTAAGATACATATCTTAACCAAACGTCGATTAATAGTTTGCATGCGATGATAACCTAATTTTATTACTTATCAACATTTTTGCCATATTAAAGCATGCTTGCAAGCTTTGAACCTCATGTAAGATATACATCATAGCCAAAAGTTCATTAATACTTTGCATATGATAAGAACGTGTTTTAAGAGCAGTAACGTTTGCATTTCATTATTCTTCAAATCGCGCAAGATCATAACACGAAATTCTCTCGAGAGAAAAATAATTTTCTACAATAATTGAATAATTAAAGCAAAAAAGAAAAAGGAATCACGGAAAAATCACTTAAAATTGCAATAACTTTCGAACAAATAGGAATTTTGAAAAAGAAAAAGGAAGTTCGTGCTAAATTTATAAATGCAAATAGCCGTTTTAACACACTAAATTCCAACTTTGTTGCTGTATTTCAGCGGGTTGTAGATTGTCTCACTTGGTACGCTTTTACTACAAGTTTAACAGTTGATAATTTTTGAACTGAGAATCAAATTTTAACTATTTTTTCTTACTTCATCGTACTCCTTACTTATTTTCCTTAACTTCGTAATTTCTAGTTTTTAAATCTTATAGTTTTGTGTTGAGAAACAAAATTAAAGTAAAGCAAAAGAAAGTGCGAAGAAATTTGTAAAAAAAAAGTACTTAAAACTGCAATATTTTTTCTAACGAAGTGGAATTTCAAAAAAAAAAAATTTTGTTAAGTTTATAAACAAGAATGTCTCTTTCGGTTTTCTGTATAATGGCTTTTCTGCAGCCAACGGAGCGGTCCGCATGATATTTTTTACTTCGCATTTGACAATTAATTTCAAACTGATTTTCGAATCTTATTTTTTTCCATCGTACTTTCTGTTCATTATTCTAAGCTTTTTTGTGATTTCAAGTTCCAAGTTTTATAACTTTTAAGCAGCAAATCTAAATGTAACAAGTCGAACACCCGAAACAACAGCAGCAGCGCTTACGAGCTTGAACGCATCGTAAATGTTGGCACGTTATTAAGTAAATGGTTTTAAGGAAAATTTTCTTTCTTACAGTTTAAAACTTTATCACAAACCATTATCATATGAACGGAAAAATTACAAGGTGAATGGTTCGAAAACCGCATATTATAATTTTATTAACCAGAATTATGGTTTTTCTTTTTTACCAAAAATATTATTGCCATACATTGCGTTAATTTTACCAGGTACTGTTTCTCTGTGTGACAATGCCAAGGCAGGCTATATTAATTACTTAACTCTTACAATTCTGGGAGCCTCACTAATTCTGGGATATATGCCACTCACATATTCTTTAAGTACAACCCTATGACCACTTTACACAATCTATCATATTGTGAAAAAGAAAAAATCGTTGAAATGGGGTGAAAAATGGATAATTAATCATGTAGCAGAGAGCCTACCGGACTGTGTAGTGGCCAGGGAGCTGACCTCACCTCATTAAGGTCCTAGCTTCGAACCCCGGACAAAGCATGGATGTTCTTTCATTTTCAGCACAATCTATCCTTACTGTGGGAGAAACTTTCGTCCACCTAATATGATACCCCTGAAAGAATGACCAACAAATCTGCCCTACCAATTTCTGAATGACGAGGGTCAATCGGGTGGGCATTGGAGAAAAAAAACATGCAGCAGAAAAGTGTCATTTATTCACTGCTGGACATTTTAGAACATGCTGAACTATAATATCATTCAAATTTGTTACAACTATGCATGATGTGAAGTAGGACCATGTTATCTTATTTTTTACACTTTATTACATGATACCATTCAATTAAGAAGAAAAGGCGATTCAATAAAGCACCTAATTTAAGTTTATACTGATTTGCACCATATTATGGTTCTAGATACCGATACAGTTCTACGTTGATCCGATTTTTCTGAGAATATACGTGAAGTATGAGTAAAAAAACTTGTCTGTCTTACTACACTGGAAAAAAAAGCATGGTTAAAACTGCCAATATATGGTAAAGTTTACCTTGTTTCTGGGATGATAGAAGCAATAAAATTCTAGGTAATTTTTACCGAAGCGCTTTTGTTATGATTTTGGTAAAATTAGCAATGAAATATGATTTTACAATATGTAAAATCATATTCAAGTATTAATTCTCTTAAGTGATACATTCTATAACCCTTCACAATGATTTCAATTCTTTCACCATATATTTCTTACTTAACACTAAGACAGGCATGAAGCCATATAGAACATAAACAAACTAATTATGCATCGAAGTTGCCAGGTATACAAACAAAAATATATCATGTGTTACAATAAAATACATAAACAAATAATAAATCTAGGAAAGAATTATATTTCAACAAATTCAATGTGCGATACGGCTCTGAATTTAATTAACTTCACGTTAATTTACATTCTAACTTATGTGGAGATACTTAGCACAACTTTGGCACGCCATTTTCTTTATTGACGATCAGCTGGCGCTGACGTCATAGGTCACATGTGGGGATGTATTTGATCTTCTTCTCAAAGTGTAAGTATCCAATTATGTAAATACCGCATATTTTAGTTTTGTTAATCAGATTTATATTGTTGTTTCTTTTTTAAATAGAAATGCCGTAATTACACAGTACAGTAATTTCACTAGAATGTTTCCTCTGGTACAATGCTGATATTTACATATTTTTGAGTTCTAAGGGAAAGAAAAAAGTTCATTACAACTAGAACAAAAATCTAGAACAAAAAAAAATATGGAATTAGTTCTTAATAATACAGCCAATAAAATTAATACCTCATCTAATTAATTTCGAAATTTCCGATATGATAAAATTAATTCCGTTATTACTAGATAGAAAAATGTAGGTTTTTATGTGCTAAATATATCCGTATTTATACCCACTTTTATGAGCTATAACATAATGTCTCCAAAAACAAAAGATTGGAATGGAAAATCAGAAAACGATTCTTCATCATTTTAAAAATAGTTTGCTTTTTGTTTAGGGCAGATTATTTTTTTGTGTTCTTCATTTTGAAATTATATTATTTTAAGCAAGATAAGACATAAAAACATAAATTTTTAGAACAAAATTATTAACAAGAAAAGTTTATAATTTATTCATTATGCGAAAGCAAGATGAAACTTATTTCTTATTATTAAGCGTATTAAATATAAATTTAGAATTTTGAAATAGTAAAGAATGAAAAGAACAGCCTCTAGTTGCTAGGTAAGTTATTTTTTCCATTAACTGATCAAGATTCCGCAAGTAGATTTTTTTGAATACAGAGCTTCTTTTCCTAGGTATCTAACTTTGAATTTTGGTATCTAGGTAAACGACAAACTTTATTTTGTGTTATCATTGATTAACAATAGACAACAATGCAATGAAAAGAAAAAAAATGGCCAAACAGTATTCTCCTGTGAAAATATTCTTCTTTATCGCCGAAATATAGAGCACGGGTGAAAGTAGCTCAAAGAGGAGAAGAGCAACGAACTTTAAAAGACAGTTTTAAAATTTCACCTCTGTGCCTTCGCCATTTTGACTTTAAAAATCGATGGAAGTCATTATCGCTTCCAACTACGGTCGTTGACTCTGATGAATTATCAGGTTTCCTTTGGAAAAAAAGGCATTAGTTTTGTAAACAGTCATCTTGAGAAAATGTTGAAAGCTTATCTGACACGCCACGTGGAAGAATATTAGATAACATAACGGAATATGTAACATCGCAAAGTTTGGCTTGTTGACCATCAAGATCGACGATTTATCGCTTCCCAAGGTGTTATCTGTCTCCCTGTTTTATGGATTTTAATGCAGAACGCAGGGTTTTATGTTAATCATTAAAAGTTTCCTTGTTAAATATTTGATAAAAACAAAGAGTATATAGATGAAAATGATGCGACAAGCAGTTACTTACTGTTTAGTTATTCAAAAATTAACAGCGAATAAATGCAGCAGTATTTTGTAATAAAATACCTATAATATTATTATTACTTTCATTAGAAACATAACACTGAAAAATGAAAAAATATATTATTCTCCAAATATTTATTAAGTATTTAATATAAAAATACTGTAATCCAAAATATACATCTGTATTATTTTTAATACAGATCTCTAGACAATTTAGATAAAACCAATAACATTTTTAAAAATGTATAATACTCAAATATAAGTGTTTAATATAAAAATATTTTTATTTTAAATATACTTCTATAATATATCAATCTAAACAATTTAGATCAAATCTAGAATATTTTGAAAGTATGTTGTACTCAAAGTATATATCAGATTAGTGTTTATTAGTTTGTATTATGGGTTTATTATTAAAATTTGTAACCTAAAATATTTTTTCATGATATTTTGAAGATATCAATCTAGGCAATTTAGATGAAATCCAGAATATTTTGAAAGTGTGCAATACTCAAAAATATAAATCAATAATATGAAAATATTGTATTCAAACATATACTGATATATAAAAAATATCAATCTAAAAAACTTAGATCATGAAAATGTAATTTTTCTTATAAAACTTGTGTTTTTTTTATAAATCAGATGATTTAAAGGATTTAATTAAAAATAGATGCATTGAGAAAAGCATTTTGCCAAAATTAT